TAGTTTCGTTTAAATGTTTTTGTAGCAGCAACATTTTCAGATTTGTGATTTTTATTTAATTAGTGGAAGCTGTGGCAACTAGCACTATTTCAGGAATATTCGACAGGCTAATACATGTTGTTGTTTATACCCCCCCCCCACATTTTTTTTCCACCCCAAAATATAATATCCTAAATATTTAATTGGGTCAGCATAATAGTAGCAAGTACAAATTATTCATCATATATTTTGAGAGACGCCGAAAGGACAATATGAAATAGCAAACAAAATTAGTAAAATAAAAACGAAAAAGTACACAGGGGTTGTTTGAAATAGCAAATGTCTACACATGTACATGCATACATATCAACATACATATATACATTCAAATACACATACACACATACATGTGACCACCATACATACACATCTATACATATACAGTACATTCAATCGGTGTATAGAAACAGTCAAACAAGGGATGGTCGTCTTTGGGATATGTACATTTTCCACTTTTTCCATATTTCTTCAAATGTGTTTTCCTGAAGCCTCATTGAGAAGGTGATTCTTTCCATAACATAGATTTCATGGATTTTGTCGTGCCAGTTGTCAAGAGAAGGGATATACGCTTTGAGACATTTTCTAGTTATTACTTTTTTTGCAGCGATCTGATGCAGAGCGGAGTGCACGTGCTGGGATCCTCTGAGCTGCTTAACACGATACGAGTTGTCAGGAGGGGGGGAGAGCGCTCCGTTTATTATTCCCATATTATTATCCAAATTCAATTCAATTTTGGAATAATATGCTTTATTCACGATTAGTAGTTTGTTTAAATGTAATAACTTAATTCAATTGTTGATTTTGATTCTTTGACAGGTATCAAAACAGATCACATGCTGTTTTTACAAAAAGAAAAATGTGATCCTTACTTTTTTCTTTTACACATCTGGCCTTTTTCGATTGAGTCCTTAGTTGGAACCGAGATTATTTTGGTGACCCACACAAATGTCCACCTTTGGTCCACAGGGACTCACTACTTTTATGATCAACACCACTACACACACGGGCATGCTCATGAGCACACAATGCCATGGGCAACACAGGCTGTGTTGCAGCTATGCCACTTTTTGGCAAACAAGGTGTGTGTGTGTGTGTGTGTGTGTGTGTGTGTGTGTGTGTGTGTGTGTGTGTGTGTGTGTGTGTGTGTGTGTGTGTGTGTGTGTGTGTGTGTGTGTGTGTGTGTGTGTGTGTGTGTGTGTGTGTGTGTGTGTGCACACACACACACACACACACACACACACACACACACACACACACACACANTGTGTGCCTTGGCAGTCTCAGGTGCACAAACTTATCTCGTGCCCTCATTGGTCATGTGCGCGTTCGTGTGTGTTGGAGGAGGGGCTCTGTGAGGAAGTGGCAGATTTTTTCCGGTTGTGTATTTTCAAATTCTAGCGCACTCGAGCTGGTTTCTCCATTCTTACCTACCCCACATTTAACGACCTTTCAAACTGTATATATTGTATCAGACTACTGGTATACATGAAAAACTGCAGTAAATATACAAAGAATAGACACTGAACATGTATTGCGTGTGCCAGGTGTGATCCATGTGGGGGGATGGGCACATAAGAGCGGGAAATGTGTCAAATTGTTCGTGTGTGTGTGTGTGTGTGTGTGTGTGTGTGTGTGTGTGTGTGTGTGTGTGTGTGCGCCAGGTGTGATTCATATGGGGGGATTGGGCACATAAGGGGCGGATGGGGGGACACATTTAGAGTATGTGTTTGTGTGTGTGTGTTTTATCTGATCCGGATGGTTACCAATTCCTTTTCTTGATGAAAGTAGTAAATCGGTCAGATTTGACCCGAAGACAACAAGAGGGTTAAAATCAATTCAGTCAATTAAAGTTAAAAGCATTTTCTAACAAAGCTGGAAAAAGACCCTTCCTATTCCCCGGTTTAATAAGCAATCTGAGGCAACTGTTTTATGGAATGATCTGCCAACACCATTTGTAACAAAATAAATGAAACCCAGCGGAGAGCTGTTATTCAAGTATCAAGCATCATTTATATGATTGATTTTGATAACTGACAACTGAATTTATAAGGCAATATAATATACCTCTAGTGAGGGGCCCAGACCTTGGTATGTTTCTCTGTATGCATCCCTCAGTGAAAAATGTTTTGGACACCCCCGGTTTAGCCCAACATAAAGAATAATCTGCAGTGTTTTTCACTATAAGGTGTTGATGCTGTGATGCCTGTATTGCTGAGGGTAGAAGAATGAGAGTTACCAATAAAGCATAGCATCGTGTGATAGATCATAATAGTTGACATAAAATGAGTATTCTTCACTAGTATGCTGCTGTGATGCCAGACTCAGTGTTGCTGAGGGTAAACTGGATTCAGAGCACAAGAGGCGCAGAGAGCTCACCCACAGAAACTCGTCTCTGAATAAATACACTAATTTAGACCCTTGCTGCTATGGCAACCTACTCATGGAATTTCACCACTAGCGCAACTTGCAGTGCGTTGCCTGTGGACACGCCCACACTGCGCTCTGATTGGCTGACTGAGGTCTCCTGCGGTTGGTTACCTGCTCCCTCTCAGCCAACCTCCGGTCTTCCTCCCGTCTCATATCGTCGAGTCTCCGGTGGGGACCTTTTTCTTGCTGCCTCACCATATCTCGCTCTTTCCTCTGTTGCTGGGAGAGAAGGGTGACAGTAAAGAGAGGAATGAGCACACGGGCTATAATTGCACTAGGGGAATTTATAATGGAGAGCCGGCTTATGAGCAAAAACCCTTCCTTTGTTTTTTGTGTGCAAGAGCTAGGAAAAGATATATAAAAGGGAGTGGGGATGCAGAGGATGTGAGTCATTCTCACAAACACACATATACTGTGCACATAATACATCATCAGAGTGCTTCCTTTCAAACACCCATTCACTTTTTGATGGCTTTATCTTTTAAAAAACAGACATTGAAACAGTTTGTTTTTTGTGATGAAATGACACAAAGCTCTCAATTGTTTTTGGCACTTTGCAGTCGAACAGTGAAAAGAGGGGAGGAGGAGGAGGAGGTGATGGTGTATCAGGGGAGTTCAATCTTACTGCAGTAAAACTCTGACCAATACTGCACAGTCATTTTAATAACAAAAGACAAATCAGTGTGTTTAAGTAGGCCTCAGTCAAATCCTACGTAGCTCCTCAAACACCTCACAGCCGCTGGCACTTTATCAGAACACCAGAGAGCTGAGTCATGCAGGTAAGTCTTCCAAGATCCTCAGCAATGAACAAAAACTTTGCTTACTGTAGGTAAAGTCTAAAAGCCTGAACATATAACCCCAACAATTACAATTCAACACAGCATAAAGAAAACCTTTTCATTTCCTTTTGTTGTAATTCACCTCTGCTTCAATATATGCTGCTTTGTGTGCGAGTACTAAATGATAGCTTCAAAACAAACAGGCGCTGAATAACGTGTTTTTAAAGTTTCTTATAATAGTTGGATGGATTTTGTGGCATGATACATAAAAGGAACACGATGATCCGACAGAAAATCCACAGACTGATTGGTAGTAAGGGCTGGTTGGTTCACCTATTGGGGTTTATCCAGATCGTAAATATGAAAACACTTCAAGCAAGTTAAGTTGCTTTTTGGCAGAGAAAAAGACAAGAGGACACTCAGTGGACGTTCAGTATTTGCAACATTACAGGGGTAAATAGATGGAATGTCTACTTTTACTGTGCAAGCTTATTAATCACCTACGTTGCTTGTATTTTCCCTCACAATGGTGTGCAAGGATGAGGTGATTATATGACACTATCTCCTTAAGGCTAACATGTTGTTTTAATACAGTGAATGCTCTGCTGATGTCATGTCTTGTTTACATTGGGTTTCTCTATGATCCTCCATAGAGCTGTCTTGTTAGCTAGCCTGCGTTCATTCTCTAACATCACATCCACAGAAATATACATCGATTGTAAAAAAAAAAAATTGCATCCAAAGAGTTAAACTTTCTACCTCACATCAGGCAGACTAGCGGTCTTAGTGTTGAAAGTCTGAATCTTGAGCCACTTATACAACTCACTGATTTCCATTCCTCATTAAGGGTGTGAACACCTTTTCAGTTTCCAGGATTTATATAAAATTCATACGCCTTAAACATCTCTCTCAGGCTAAGAAATCATCTCACTGTGTTGCAGAATTAATAATTCATACTTGTGTTGAAAGGAGCTGGACTTTCTCAGTGTATTCCCCACAGTGTGTTCAAAAAGATACTGTGAAGCAGACCTGAACTTTTTGCTTCTTTGAAACTAGTTATTTTGTCAGTAAGGCTTTGAGAGGCACACAGAAAACCTGATGGATAGTTAAGTGTAGTTTTACATGTGGTGCTCATTTCGAGCTGTTAACATCTAATGTATCAAGGAAGTAGATGCAGGTGCACCAGAGACTTTAGAGCAGGGGTGTCCAAACTACGGCCCGGGGGCCAAATGCGGCCCGCGAGCCATATTGAATCGGCCCATTTTTGCTCCACTCAACATAGCCTACAACAGACTATGCAGATTTGTTCTTGGTTGTCCTTTTCCTACACATCGGTGCACAATATATAACCAACTTAAATGGCCTTCTTTAAATGTAAGAAGACACGCATTGGCTTCAGCTGATATTTAAAATGTATTTATCTTAACTATCCCCCTTATTGAAAGCAGTATTTTGTACCCTACTCACCAAATCATCAAGTTAGACACTCTGTCCAGATTTATTTCTCTGTCCCCTCTGCAAAAACATCTATTGGCAGAAGAGCGTTCATGTTCAAAGCCCCAACAGACTGGAATGCTTTACCTACTGCCATTAGATCTCTTGCATCATTGGGTATGTTTAAACATGCATGATCATCTCACTTTCAACTGGTCTGCACTTGTTATTGATGAAACTGATATTGATCACATTCTCAATGAGGCTTCAGGAAAACACATTTGAAGAAATATGGAAAAAGTGGAGAATTTACATATCCCAAAGACGACCATCCCTTGTTTGACCGTTTCTATACACCGATTGAATGTATATGTATGTGTATGTATGGTCACATGTATGTATATATGTGTATTGAATGTATATATATTAGGGCCGGGACTCGATTAAAAAAATGTATCTAATTAATTAGAGGCTTTGTAATTAATTAATCGAAATTAATCGCATTTTTAATCACATATAAATATTTGACCTGAGAACAGTGAGAAGCAATTTTTTTCACATGGATTTTAGTATACCATTGAATAATGACTGAATACATAAGCTTAAGCAACAAAACATTGTTTATTTTTTTTCAAGGTGGTACTTAACCAAGACCAANGCGCACATGACCAATGAGGGCACGAGATAAGTTTGTGCACAGATGGAAGGCTGACAGGCAGTTATTTTAGCCGGGCCGGCTCAGATGATTGGTCGTGCTTTTTACAGCGCTACGGCTTCCACAGCTACACATTTTTTTTAATGGATTTTTTTGTCAAAGCATTTAATATATTCATTGCTATCGGGATGTTAAGAGCATTCCATGGAATATAACAACAAGTGTATCTCGAGTCGGTTTCTCAAACTTACCTACCCCACCTTTAAATGAAATTTGGTGATGATTAATGGTTTTTGTGTTAATGTAATAGCAGTTAAAACAGGACCGGTCAAATTTGACCGCGATCACCAAAGTAAGGGGGGGGGAACGAAGACAACAGGAGGGTTAAAAGTGGGCTTATTATGACATGAATATTGGGTCATATACTTTTTCATCTATATTTAAGAAGTATAATATAAGACGAGCACAAGTTTCAGGCGTGGGCCGTGTTCCTTTATCCATTTTGAATTTGAGGGCCAATAAAAAAAAAAAGGTCAACGGCTCGCAGTTGGCCCCGGGGCCGTAGTTTGGACACCCCTGTGCTAAACAGTGATGCTTTACAACCTTTAAACGGGTAAAGTCAATGTGAAGTGACGGAAATGAAGTGTTTTCTTTGAGTCAGTGCACCGCCCAGTGTCTGTTGTTTCCTGGAATGACGTTACATAACTGTAATGTGCATCTATTTTCTGCCCTTGACCTTTTTATACCTTCATTTCTCTCTTTCCCCCCCCTTTTACGCCTGTCCTTCCTGCCTCCTCACCTCTCCTCAGGAGTTTATCAGACAAAAGTTAGAAGAAGAGCAGCGGCAGTTAGAAATCCTGCAGCAGCAGTTGCTTCAGGAGCAAGCACTGCTTATGGTAACTAGTCCTCTCTACCTCTTTATCATTTCATGTTCTGACTGCAGAGGTTTCCATGCCCTCTGCGACACAGTGCCTCATCAGTAAAGGAGATTTATTGATCAGCGCTGAACCATTTTCTTCTCCTGTCAGGTCCATTTCTTTTGTATAACCCAATATCACCACATTGCATCTGGTTGGGAGGGTTTATAATCTGTACCACAGACAACACTAGTCCTTAGACCCTCGAGACAGATAAGGAAACAAATGGTGTTTACACTGCAGGGTTACAAGTCTGCCCGAGTTTAGGTGGAGAAAAAGGCATCTTAATACTTTCAGTTTCTACTGGATCTACTTTTCAGGAGTGTCATGTGCTAGATGAGCATCACCTTGAATCAGAATCAGGTTTATTGCCAATAGGTTTAAACAAACAACAAATGTGATTTGGCGTATAGTTGTGCAAACTCAAACATAAGGAAATAAGTTCTAAGAGAAGGATCAAAAATATAACTATTATAAAAAGAAAATGTATTGCATTTACACGGAATATAAAAATATACACACACTAATTTCTAATATAGTGAGTATATGACCAAATATACTTGTTATGAACCTGCCTGAGGACCACAGATAGAAATGAGCTATTAGCTATAATCTGGCATATTGCATCTCTTCTCTTTGCTGAGATGAATGTATTTGTATGCATGGTCCTTCTATAAATAAATACATATATATATAAATACAGTATATCATATTTTAAAGTGGTATCATACAGAAATGTGCAATCTATTCAGATTTGACAGTGTTTAAAATAACTATATATTAGTCACATGATCCAATCCATTTGATTTCTATAGCACATTTAAAAACAACAGAGTTGAACAAAGTGCTGAACATCAACAACTGTATACAAACATAGCATAAATACATAAAAAACAGACGGGAAATGAAACAAATGTAAAACACGAGACGATGAAACCAGATCAGAAACCACAGACTGAGAAACTCTCCTACATGACGTAAAAACAAAACACCAGTAAGATAAAAACCCTAATTTAAAAGCACAAGTTTCACCTGGCCTGTAAATGCCAGGGAAAAGAAGTGGGTTTTTAAACGAGATTTAAAAACCGGCATGATGTGCATACATTTAATGTAAATGTTAATGGGGTGGGTAAGAGTCAGATGTAGACGTAGAGAGTATGGGTTTACCTCCCACAAAACTGCACGTCGTGAAACACATGCGCTGACCTAGTTTTTGAGCGCAGTTTTGGACAGATTTCAGGTTTTTACTGAATCTTCCTCACACTGAAGGGAGGAATTGCCACAGTCTTGATATCTTTGTGTTAGCTCGATCCTGTTGGGCCTACAAGGTGCTTTACTCTTATATGTATACCTGTTTATGCGGCAAGACAAGGAACCCAATCCTCACAGCTGGATTCATGAGGTGATGAGATTTTTCACATATCCCTCAGAGGTTTCACAAAGACATCATTATCATAGGGACCAGAGCTCAGAGCCAGCCACAGGACAGCGACTGTGACCCTGGCTAAATTAGAATCAAACAAAACGAAATCCCCTTTAAACAAATGAGAGGCTTGAATAAAGAGCGTGATTACTTTATGTTGCAGTCGCAAGAATTTATCCCTAATGATTTGCTAGATTTAATGTAAAGATAATGACCTTTTCTTGTGCTATTCTCTTTAGGGAGGTAATTCAATTTAAAGACAACTAGGCTAACATTAGATGGCCACTCGTGGATTTATGAACATCATATATTACGATCTGCGATGTACATGCATATCTTATCTCTTGCCTGGCCTAAAAAAAAAAAGAGACTCGAAACTGTTAAATATCCGTGTTGCTGCATTAGTGTGTCAGCAGGGTAGGAAGAGCAGCCTAGATGTCCCTCTGAGACACTGTGATTCCTCCACTGTGTTCCCTATCTGCTGTAAGGTCCCCTCCCACACAGGGAAGCACCTGGGTGAGACTTTACCACCAGGTGCCACACTGGGTTATGTTTGGCTCCTTCTCCTCGCCAGTGGCACCAAACAAAGTGGATGCGTCTCCTCGCGGGTCGAGATCTAATGTAAACAAAGTCATGCGCTTGAGGTGAAGGCTTCCTGTGCGTCCTCTCTATTAATACCTTGTGGTAGCATCAGGACTACATCAGGATCGCTCCATGAGATGCATGTGTTTTTCATCCTGGTTGGAGAACAGCTTGTTTATGCCTAGCGTTGCATCTATCACTTTGATCAATCCAGTTTAGATTTCACCACAGAAGACTTGGGCAGTGTTGGAGAGTAATAAAGAACAGATACTCAAAACTGGACTTATGTCCAAAACGTGAAAAACAAAAATGAGTTAATAGGCTACAGATGGTTTGCTAGTTTATTCTTCCTAAATTCATATAAACATTACCTCAGCTCTGCATAACTGTGATTGTCAGTCATATTTAAAAAGCACTATTTTCATCACTCTACTCTGAAAAAGCTGCTCTAGCTGTCAAATTCATACTTCACGGGATAAAAACACCACCGGTGACTAGGGATGCCAGTGATTATTCGATTATTCCAATATTCGTTACAGTCTCCATAATCGAATATTATTTTTAAAAATCGATTTTATTTATATATGTTTTTTATTATTATTTATGTTTTTTTTTTTTTTTCTGGCTTAGTTTCAACCAAAATATAGACTAATGCTAAAATTAAATAGTAATAGATATTAATAATTGTAAAAATGCCATTGGTCACACCACCAGTTTGTTTTACTGTAAACTTGGAGGAAGCCTGCGTGCAGAGCAGACTGCTGCTGCAGCACGCTACACACCGACCCCGACCCCCTGCCCCCCTCTCCCTCACATGTGCGACTAAAGATGAACAAAGCGGCAGGTAAAAAGAGTTCAAGGAGCTGCATCATGTTGATGTTGGTTTATTTGTCGTTTATTTTGTTTGTACTGTTAAACATGTTCCAGTAAAGAAAACAACGGAATTCCTTTTGTCAGAATTTTTTTTTTTTCTCTCCCGCGCGGGGGGGGTCGGTCGAATAATCGATTATTATTTGCCAGGGCTGCCGAATAATCGATTTTGATCATGGTCAGTTTCTGGCAACCCTACCGGTGTCCCTCTCATGCTGCGTCGTTAGGGTTACTTCTTTCCTATTGGTAGGTTTCTGACCAGTCGCTGCACACCACTAGGTGACACAGTTTATGCCCGGTATCAGAAGGCTGCGCCACATAAACCTGCCTCCTCACATGTCATTTACCAATCAAGTGCGTGTTCACCTCCTGGGCTGCTATCTGAAATCTGGGATCCATTTCAAGGTGTTTTTGCCTAAAACGGGCTTCTGCACCCACACTGGCATCAGCCATCATACCACTGGCATCTGCGACTGACCAGTGGGCGGGTGTCCATTTCCTCGTGTCATTATTAGTATGAGCCGTCTGCTTTGTTTGCTGTCAATGGCAGTCAGGAAGAAAGTAAACAGTACCTAAGTTACAATTGAGACTATGGCTCTGTGACTGCCAGTAATGTCCGTCAGTCAGAGCCTTTTTTTTTTTAAGACAAGAATATTCTGAAAGGCCGACGGTGGGCAGCCAGGTAGTTTATTTTTTAGCTGCAACATGCAGGGAGCCTAAACATCATGCACATTCATTTCTTAGATTAGATTTCAACCTGCGTCATCTAGGAATTCACAGAACCATGGATGAGTTTGCAACTTCCATGTTCTCACGGTGGAGGGGCACCTCAGTCTCAGGCTTGAGTTGTAAATCTACTGCTTCACTTTGTGGCCCATCGTGATGTGAAAATTAAAATAGAACAAATGACAACAAGCACTTCAAAAAAATCAATCTGTATTTAATTCATGCATGGGGAATTCTCTTTTTCTTTTCTTTATGAATGGGGTGGCCATCAACAGGCAAGAGACCTATGCTTACAACTCAGAATGAAATCAAGTTTTTCATTTTCTCACTTTCTCTTAAACATACAAATAAGTTAAACCTGACACAATCAATATTCTTTTGATGTGGGTTGGTGAAAGACTGCTGTACTAAAATTAGGATTACACACAAGGATACACAGGTTTTTTTGGGTGAATAAATGAATTCTAAAAAGTCATTTGTGTCCAGTCCGAGACGAGCTATGGCTTAACTGCAGTGTGTGTTTTTTGTTGTTGCTCAGGAGTATAAGCGCAAGCAGCTGGAGGAGCAGCGTCAGTCGGAGCGGCTGCAGAGGCAGCTGCAGCAGGAGCACGCGTACCTGGTGTCTCTGCAGCAGCAGCAGCAGGACAAGAAGCCCCAGCTCTACCACTACAACAAGAACCTGGAGCCCAACAACAAACCCACATGGGCCCGGGAGGTAGCAACGATACCTGAAGCATCACACACAGTCGAAATAGATAGTTTATTGGTTTATTGTGTCGTGGACAGTCCACATTAATCAACTGTCACAAAAGACTGTAAATGGGGTAGTTTTACCAAACATAGCTAATTTCCAGCTGTTGTCCCCGGCCAGATGATCAGACACCCTTAAATTCACAATACATCATAGATAGATAGATACATAGATAGATAGATAGATAGATAGATAGATACATAGATAGATAGATAGATAGATAGATAGATAGATAGATAGATAGATGGATAAATAGATACATAGATAGATAGATAGATAGATAGATACATAGATAGATAGATAGATACATAGATAGATAGATAGATAGATACATAGATAGATACATAGATAGATACATAGATAGATAGATAGATAGATAGATAGATAGATACATAGATAGATACATAGATAGATAGATAGATACATAGATAGATACATAGATACATAGATAGATAGATAGATAGATACATAGATACATAGATAGATACATAGATAGATAGATAAATAGATACATAGATAGATAGATAGATAGATAGATAGATACTTCCCAATTTAGGACATTATTTTGTTACAGAAGCAGACGTGTGTTCAGACATGAAAAAGCAATACTTTAAATACTTTAAAAAGAGAACTAACAATTAAAAATAAAATGACAAATATTATATCGAATATACACAATATAAACAAAACAATATAAAATATTCTGGATCATTAAAATAAAAAGCATAATGCTGCACACTGCCCTACATACTTCATCCACTGTCCTCCTTGTTTCAGGTGGAGGAGCGGAGTAAGCTCAACAGACAGGGCTCGCCCAAAATCTGCACCACCGTCTCCGACACTGCCATCCAGTCGCGCTCTGACTCCATCAGCCAGTTGGGAGTGGGTCTATCTGCCCAGACCCCCCCCATGCAGAGGCCTGTCGAACCCCAGGGGGGGCAGGGGAAGGTGGGTGCTTGCAAGGGTTTGAAATGTAGTTCCTTTAGTCCCCCTAGAAGAGCAGCTGACGACAGAACAATCTTTTGAGATCAGATCAGTTTAGGTAATTAGATTAGACATGTATTGATCCCTCTGGGGACATTCAGATGGTTTAGCAGCTAAAGCAATGAGATTAAAACACATGATAGGACAGTTCAAACAAGGATAACAAATAAAGTGAGAGTATACAATAAACAGAAAATGGGTTGAATACTATTTTAGGATATTACTGATGTTTATAAGGGTGGTATTAGAGTTTAAACAAATATCCTCTCTGGTCAATTCCTTTATTACTATTTGAATAAAAATAAAATAACTATGAAATAAGAAATGAATTAAAATGGTGGGTGCTTCCAAGTGTTTGAAATGTAGTTCCTTTAACCCCATAGAAAAACAGCTCAAGATACAACTGCCTCTCCCTTCTGCCCCTGACTCTTTAGCTGCTTCATCCGTCTATGCTACCTTATTCATGCCTTCCTTTTTTACATTCCTCCCTTTCCCTCCACAAACCTGTGATCTCTTTTCTCCTTGGATACCTCCTGCGATCTCCTCTTGCTCCTCCTCCCTCCGCCCTGCTCCTCCTGTCCTCTTCAGTTCCAGATGGCTCACCTGGTTCCTCTGAAGCCCTACGCTGCCCCTGTCCCTCGCTCTCAGTCCCTCTGTGACCAGCCCACTAAGACCATGTCCGCATTCCCCACTCAGGACCCGTCCCTCACCCCCACGCCCCGCCCCATCCACTCTAGAGAGCTGGTGCGTCAAAACTCAGACCCCACTTCTGAAACTCCGGCCCCCCAGGGACTTCTGATCGGAGATGGACCCTGGATCCGCCTGCCTGATGTGGAACTCCCACCCAAGGTGAGTCTAGTGCACATGTGTCAAACTCAAGGCCCGGGGGCCAAATCAGGCCCGTGGTGGATTTAATTTCGGCCCGCAGGATAATTTCTAATTACTATTAAATCTGGGCGCTGGTATATTGCACGCACACCTTCACTCCATCCTGAGGGTCTCCTCAGCTCAGAGCCTGAGCCCAAACATTGATGACTTTCACCCAAGATGAGATGCCAAGTATCTGAACTAGCATCACAGAGCAGCACACTGAGTTTAATGGATGTTTCCTTCTGCACTTTCTCTCTCACGACAACAGGACATGTTTGTTTTCTCTTTGAGAGAAATAGTTTTGTTGAAGCTGTTGTTGGCCTGTGGAAAAATGTAATCATAAGAAATGACTCTGGAAAAGCTGCAGATAGAGCCATAAGAAATGAATNTGTGTCCCCTCTTCTTCAAGTCTCTTCTACATCAACATGTGTCCCCTCTTCCTCATGTCTCTTCTACCTATGTCTCTTCTACATCAACATGTGTCCCCTCTTCTCTATGTCTCTTCTACATCAACATGTGTCCCCTCTTCTTCATGTCTCTTCTACATCAACATGTGTCCCCTCTTCTTCATGTCTCTTCTACATCAACATGTGTCCCCTCTGTGGAAAGAGACTCTGGAAGTTTCAGGAACAAAGATTCTCTCTCTTTTTGTCCTGATCCATTTCTATAAAAACCTGTCTGAAAATGAGCTGATCAGATTTTGGCCACTTTATGATGTCATAACGATTTTTTGGCTTGTGTAACCATTAGCCAATCAGCAACCAAGGTAACCCCCCCTTATCACCTGAATCTCCTCCTAGAGCACCATTGTGTTCTTTTTAAACAAATGTCTCTCAGAGGGGCGTGGGGAGGGGCTCCTTATTTTCATCTAAAGTAACAGACAGAGAATCAGCACTTTGGAAACAGGGCTGAAACAGAGGGGATTATGGGTAATGCTGCAATGATCTGTTTGGTGTTTCAGCAAATCAGAGACATGTTTGTATATATCTGAGACCTATAATATATTGATGGAAAACAGTATCATAGGGGACCTTTTTAAGTGGTGCTCAATAAGACTTCAGATAACTGATTTGTTTTCTCACAATAGCAATCCGGATCTGAGCCGCAATGATCGCTGGGAGAGAGGAGACAGTATGAGCGTCATCTCCAATCTGCCCCAGACCGGCTCTCTGGAGAGGCATCGCATCCACAGTGAGTCCCTGCCTCCCCCACGCTATTCCTCCGCAGATTATCTGATTTCAGAGTTAGAACTAAACACTCTACAACATTGTTCATTTCAGGTTCCTCCAAAATGGATTCTCCCATGCTGTCCCATGATAGTCGTCACAAGCCGGGGGAGTCTCGCACCTCCTCCCGCCCCGGGCGCCCTGCTGTAAGTTGTTCTTTAAAAACAGACATTTGATTGGCCGTGTCTCCAGTATCCCCTACTTAAACTCCAATGCTTCAGGGTGCATGCAACACGTCGTAGGGTTGTGCAGTGATGACGTATTTCTGTAGGCCGACCCGGAAGTTAGCTTCACAAAGGTTTCCACATCGGATTTCTGTTTATTGCAGAAAATAACGTTTCTGGCCAACAAATGTTTATAATACTTCTACGTTTTGTTCAGCAGGATAATCTCCACACGTTACCACCACTTTGTGATTTTGAAAACGTAAATGCAATCCGTAATAAGGAAACAGCTAAAGGCAATAAACAAACTACACAACGATCACATGACTTCACGACGGCACCGCTAAGCTAAAGGTGGACTAAACTTTGCTGTTAAGTCCACCTTTAGCTTAGCGGTGGTGTCATGCGTGTTTTGCGTGCAGTTTTCATGACACATAGAAGCTTCGAACATTCACCTTCACACGTTAGATCAGGCGTCGGCAACCTTTTTGATATGAAGTGCTATTACAAAAACATTTTATCTATCAGCGTGCTGACGATCGGGAATTATCAACGGGGTCGAGGAGGGGGGGGGGGGGGTGAGGAGCTCGACGCTCGTGAACTGTCAACAGGAGGACGGTGGGAGCCTCGCTGCAGGGAAGCAGTGTGTGGACCTGTCAGCGCAACTTATAGGATACCGAATTTAACAAACAAATTTAAATAATTGGTTTGAACGGCATAATAATAAGAACGACCGTCCGTTCTGTGATTCTCCAGAACACACACATGGCCAGTCCGCCCCTGTGTAGCATATTATTTCGATGAGAGATGAGCAGATCGCCACTGGGCTTTCAACTAAAGACACAGCCACGCAAAAACTGCGGCATTTGTACAGCTCCTTATGGGTACTGCAATTAGGGAAGTGCTTTCCTCCGTGGTGAAACGATCAGCACTGCACCACGGAGAAAAGCGGCAGTTAGATCAACATTAAACATTTAATAAGCTTGTGTTAACCACAGACCTTATTTTAGGCTTCTAACCACAAACCATTGACTTCGAGAAGAGGGAAGTTCTTAACTGCTGACTAATTTCCGGGTTTTAGGACTCATCACTGCACCTCTTAATGTTGTTTAATCAAAAAACAAGAACTAATGTACTGTACATAACCTTAGTCGTTTTCAAACACCTGTACATTGACAGAGTTTACTAACCCAAGGTTTTCTCCTCGTATATCCTTAACACTTTTTCCTGAGCTTCACACGATTGCTGTTCATGTTTCTCCTCTTCTCAAATCCCTGTTTGTTGACTCGATTGTGCAGAGTTACAAGAGAGCTATAGGGGAGGTTAGTATTCATGTCTTTGTGTGTTACGCAACGCTAAGTGTTCATGCATGAGTTTGCCCCTGCATTATTTGGATGCAAGTGATCGTATAGAATGAATTGCACGCATTGTTGTTGTTTACTGGGTACATCATGTGGCGTCTTTGAACTAAATTCCACTCTTTAAATAGTCATTTGTAATGTGTTTACATTTGTTTTTATTGTGTTTCTATGTGAACATCATACCCTCAACACAGGCCTTCTAACCACGCCTGAAAATCATCCCAAAATGTCACTTCAGTTGTGTTTGGATTGGACATTACCTTAGCATGGCACACGTGGATGTCTCCTGTCTGTGATGGATGTTTCAAACTGTTTTGAAAGCGTTTGTAAAGTAAATGGGGGGTGTATGTGTGTGCAGGATCATGGCCTGTTTGCCAAGGAGCGTGCTGAGGAGCAGCCGAGGCCTCCGGTGAAAGCCAACGACTACTCGTCCTCCTCGGAGAGCAGCGAGAGCAGCGAGGAGAGCGAGAGCGGCGAGGGGCCCGAGGAGGAAGAGAGCCCCACAGATCGGTAACTGTTAGAAAAATATATCACTCGTCACCGGCTTGAGCTTCAACATCAGGATCCATTTATTTGTGATCCTCTGAAGAGTAGTAGTCATCACATACAGAGCATTTGGTACAACTAGTGTCCTTCACATGCTGATATACAAAGAGAGGGAGTTACACAGTCACAAGATGGAGGAATACCGGTTCTTGTTTTCTGACTTGTTATCAAAATTCTGAATTTTTTCTCAAAATGGCCAAATTATGTCTTTTTTTCGCAAAATGGCTAAATTCTGACTGTCTCTCAAAATCCTAATCCATAACCCTTTTTCTCAAAATTCTGACTTTCTCTCAAAATTCTGACTTTTTCTCAAAATTCTGACTTTTTCTCAAAATCCTGACTTTTTCTCAAAATTCAGTCTTTATTCGCAAAATGGCAAAATTCTGTATTTTTTCGCAAAATTCTGTATTTTTTCGCAAGATTCTGTATTTTTTCGCAAAATTCTGTATTTTTTCGCAAAATTCTGCCTGTCTCTCAAAATCCTGACTTTCTCTCAAAATTCTGACTTTCTCTCAAATTCTGACTTTCTTTCAAAATTCTGACTTTTTCTCAAAATTATGTATTTTTTCGCAAAATCTCAAAATTATGTATTTTTTCTCAAGATCTCAAAATTATGTATTTTTTCTCAAAATCTCAAAATTATGTATTTTTTCTCAAAATTATGTATTTTTTCTATAAATTATGTATTTTTTCTCAAAATCTCAAAATTATGTATTTTTTCTCAAAATTATGTATTTTTTCTATAAATTATGTATTTTTTCTCAAAATCTCAAAGTTATGTATTTTTTCTCAAAATTATGTATTTTTTCTCAAAATTATGTATTTTTTCTCAAAATTATGTATTTTTTCTCAAAATCTCAAAATTATGTATTTTTTCTCAAAATTATGTATTTTTTTCAAAGTCCTGACTTTTTACTCAAAATCTCAAACAGTGTCCTTCACATGCTGATATCCAAGAGGGAGTTCCACAGTCACAAGATGGAGGAATAGAAAGCAGTATTCAATGTTTACTTCAGATTAGCTCCACATCAGAAATGATCATGCTTGTCATATGTCTCTCTCCATAGAGGCTGA